GTAGTGCGCTACTAGCGGATCGTACGCGTAATCGATTAAAGCGCCGTTAAGAGTAGGGTATACGTTAACTATAGATAGCGTTACTATCTAGAATTGTTAGCTAGAGTTTATATAACACTTTTATCCGGTCCTTTAACGGACTTCCCTCTTAGTTAGTATATAATATAGCTTTCGAATTGTACTAGCGTTTGCGATTCACGATATACTTATATCGTACCTTTGCCTTTTATCGTGTAGATTAAGCTATAGCTCTTAGAGGAACATACTATTATATAATATACACTAGTTTACGATATCTCTACACCTTAGCTTACGCCTTCTTCTCTCTACGCTTTATATAGGTAAACAGAAAAGAGATAAGCAATAGGTATAAGGCAACGCCTTTAGATAAAATTATAAGAGTGTCGATATACTAACGGTAACTAGAACAAATCTTTACGATACTATTATATAGCCTAGCACTCTTGCTATATCGAAACCTTATGTATAATACGATATAATAGCGTAGGAAACGCTGCAATACTCTAACTCCGGCGCCGAGGTAAAGCTAAGAGTAGTAGTGCATTCTAAAAAGCTATTTATGGGTTGTTGCAGGGAAGTCGCTAAAAGACCACCGTACCCTAGTCCCGAATCAGTCATTGCAGAGCTTCTAAGCGACCTTAACGACGACTTTTCCGAAATGTCCTCCCGAGAACAAGTATTGAAGGGCCTCCTTTGCTTCTTCAAACTTGAAGACTCTGTCCACAACAGGGTGAATCTCATGCTTGGCATAAAATTGTGTCATCTCCTCGAAGCGTTCGCGAGGCCCGTTGAGTATACCCTTCAAGGTAACATTTCTCCTTAGGGCCAGCACATTGGTGTTGAGTCTGTCTCCCGGAGCGTCCTCCTTACCGGAGAGGTAGCCAATGCAGTCAATCAGACCCCCAAAGGCTACGCAGTCGAAGCTTTTACGCAAGGTCTGCGCTCCACCGTTTTCAAATATAATATCGGCACCTTCGTTATCGGTAAGACGCATGACTTCTTCCTGCCATTCTGGCTTTGTGCGATAGTTGATTACAAAGTCGGCGCCCAGGATCTCTTTCGCCCTCTCAAGCTTGGCGTCTGAAGATGAGGTGACAATGGTCCGTAGCCCGCTGGCCTTTGCAATCTGGAGTCCAGAGATGGCAACGCCACCCGTACCTTGAATGAGGACAGTCTCGTTCCMATTAGCTGGCTGTCCCAATAGACGCATCCCATTGATGGCCATCCAGGCTGTTACACCAGCGATGGGCAGACAGCAGGCCTCCTCGTCGGACATGTAATCGGGAACGGCGACCAGTGAGTCTGCAGGGAATGCGCGGTACTCTGTCAAGCAGCCGGGCAGCGGAAGTCCAAGACCAGACGACATGTGTGCTTCCTTGACCTGTCCCTTGAGATGAGTTTGGTTGAATATGGCCATTACACGTTGTCCTTCCTTCCACGAAGACGTGCCGGGCGAGACAATGCTGCCGCAGATGTCGGAGCAGGGCACCACATCGGCCGTTCCGCCAAGAGATTTGTGGTGGTTGTACAAGCCCATGATCACTGTGCATATATCAATCAGCGGCTGTGACGATGCCCACTGCTCTTTCCAGCTCTCACCTTCCGTATCCCGGTAATTGATGGAGACGGTATTGATCTTCACCAACACTTCGCCTTCCTTTGGCACTGGCATGGCAGCCGATTGGAGTCTTAGGTTCTCCAGACCATCTTGAGCCGTCACCCACCTAGGAAGTGGCTGTTTAGCTTTGACTGAACGGGCGGCATTGCGAATTCCAGGCTTGAGTGCTCACTGTTTGATCTCTTGGGCCATGTTGTTGGACTGTAGCTGTGGCTGTAGCTGTAGCGGTCACGATCACTGTCAATGTCACTGTCACTGCAGATGCTGTGGACGAATCTGACGGAAAACAATTCGACTTTGATTTCGATGTCTAATCACCACAGAAGACCGCCTATCACAAGCACGGCCAACGCGGCGAGTGGAGCGGAGCGTGCAACGGCGCCAAAGCCCGACGATCCGGCATCCGATCCCTGTTGGTCCGAGTCGTCGTCACAGCCCACTTCTCCAAGGTCCTCCTTATACCATACATTGCTATTGTCCAGGGCGAATTATTGAGAATACCTTATCATGATGGAGATTGGGTGAAGACGCGCCCAATCCATTCCTTCCCTTCACATCAACCACCTCGACATGGCCTCGTCCGCCGCCTCCAACGTGTTTGCGGTCACGGCCGTGCTCGCCATCGCGCTGCTGGTGCTGCTGGTCATTCGTCACTTTCTGCCCCTTCGATCGACGCCGACCTATCTGCTGCTGCCCGTCTTCCTGGCCCTCGCGCTCCCCTGCAGCATCGTTGTCCTCGTGCCCATCGATCTCGCCTCCGCCGACAGCAACGAATCCGAGCACGCCTTATGGCTGCCCGAGCGAGTTATTCTGGTGACATGGAGAATCACATACTGGCTCACGTTCCTCTTGAGCTGGTTTGTGCTGCCGCTGCTGGGCGAATACTGCGATTCGGGATACCGCGATCCCAGGAGCAGGATCATAGACTCCCTCCGTACCAATGCGCGCTATCAGCTGATGGTCTTGTCAACTGCTGTGTTGGGCCTGGTGTATTTCATCTGGGAGAATGGATTTCATGTTGCAAGCATCAAAGGGTTGATCATGGCGCTGGCTTATGCCTGGGGTCTAACCCTCGCAATTGGTTTGATGGGACATGGCCTGGTTGCTTTGCCCAGGCGGCTATTTATGAATTCAGATGTGAGCATCAGACTACGGCGATTGCAGACCAAGGCGCCGAAGATTAAGGAGAGACTGGATGAGGCTACAGAAAAGTTGGACATCTTGGAGTCTACCGTGGTGCAATTGAAGAGACACAAAGGCGGTGCAAGTCGGGAGCAGCAGGATTGGATTGATGAGCTGGCCGAAACCTCCTCCCTGCCGGACATGAGACCGGGATATCCTGCTGCTGCACTGGCCAGTAATCCTCCTGTACCGTCCGTGGTCACAGACCGATACCTTGCGGACTTGACACGGAAGCTGAAGCGTGCCCGGCATCGCAAGGCACGCTTCGATGACGAGTGGGTCAACTTGTGTCAACGAGCGCAGGACACACAAGCCATTCTAGACTCGGCGATATCAAGAAAGCTCGAGTTTGACCGGAGGCGCGACTCTTGGGTGGGGCGCTCGAGCTTCCTGACCCCTACAATGCGCTATCACCTTCACATGAACGTCATTCCTGCTCTTCGCAAATGCCTAGCCGGTATGCTTGCTGTAGGATCTATTCTCATCGTCTGGRGCGAGATCGTCAAGTCCTTTGCGCCGCAACTTTCGGTCATTGGTCTCAGTGTGGTGCATCACTCCAAGTCAAAGGCAAAGGTCAACTTCGGCGGCCAGTTGATCGCAGCTCTATGGTTACTATACATGGACRCCAGCGCACTCTACGCGATTTCTGATGTCAAGGTGTGGGGCAACAGAGCGCTCGTCAAGCGCCAAACGTACGCAGAAAGCGCAACTTGGTACAGCCTGCAAGTTGCGAAGTTGACAGTTCCACTTTCATACAATTTCATCACGATGGTGCCTCCGAATTTGTTCAAGGAAACAATGTTCTTCCGTTTCCTTGGTCAGCTTATCAACCTGACACCTCTCGGTCAAGGATTCAGCACCTTCTTCCCGATTGTCCTGCTCATCCCCGTCATTGCTACGTCGTTCAATCTGTATGGCAAAGCCAAGGGCATCTTCGGCTTTGGGATGTTGGAGGACGAGAGCGAGGAGAATCCAACAGGGTTTGGAACTGGTGGCTGGCGAGAGGGCCGGGCCCTGATCGAGCGTGAAGTGCAGGCGCGCGGCGGCGAGGACACCCTCGGTCTAGCAAGCAGAGGAGCTTCCCTCGACGTTGAGCGCGGTAGTAGCCGGACTGCTGCGGTTTCCACCCCTTCGCGCAGGACCCCAAATGGTACAACGTCCGTCTATCGAGACGAGCATGTTCGAGAAGCGAACCGGCAATTCAACTCAATCACCAATCACGAGGAGGAACAGGACGATAGCGCAAGACACTTTTACCACGACTTTGGGGAGCGTGTGAAGAACACTATTGATTCTTCTGAAGTGCTCAGGAATATCGGAAGTGCCTTCACCACGCCCAAATGGATGCAGAACGACCAGGATAGCAGTAGCTCCGCCATTTCACGATGGTTTGGAGGCAGAGCAGAGGATGGCCGGGTCCGATTATAGAAGGTAGACTATTCAATTTAGCGAGGCGCAAAGGTCGTGCCGGTTTTCCAGACTTGATCAAGTACTTTGTCAAACTACCTTAGGGTCACGGAGAGCGCCTGTCCATCTCAGAGACGGGACCGTTCCCGGTTAACAATCAGGTTGATTGCCAAAATGTTCCAGGGTATGCCACTCCGTGTGCCGATTGCAGCCGTCAACCTTCACGGTCGAGCTGCTCCATCGAAGCACTCTCCATCTCCAACTCCTTGCCCACTTTTTCTCTTTCCTGATCTTGGTATGGATGATGTCAAAATCGTGCACGGCCAATCTGCCTCCGTTCGGTTCCTTTGCATGCATTGCCCTTGCCCGCTAAATTTTTTACCGCGCTGCATCCTTCGCTGCCAGATCGAGCATGGTCTCGCTAAAGGACGCATTGTCAATGGGAGCACGGGACCATCGACCCCGCCAATACATCTATGTAGGGCAATCTACCCTATCTCTGCTGCCTAAGACAGGTATCGCACATAGTGTGTGAACACAGCCCAGCATAATATGGCAAGCTGAAGCAGAAAAGACTTTGTGCATTCTCCACCTCAAATGGCACGTCCAGGATACCACACGGACGATTATCTCAGCGACTCATCGTTCGAGGCAGGCGATGATTCCGATGGGGACTCGGCTATCCATGACTTCGCCGCAAGCTCGCGGACTGGCGACACAAACACTGGTGATCTACCAAGCATGTCGGAAGCACAATCCAAGGCGCAAGAGGCGGCCGTAGAACAACGGATGGGCGCTTCCTCTGCAGCTCAACTTTCCCAGCTGAGTTCGCCAGCTCTGTCGGCCACTTCCATGCCATGGTCGGAACCAGACGTGTCCAACTTCTTTATGGGCCCACCGGACTATGCCACAGCAATCGCGAATCAGCCTACATATGGTAGCTTCCAGCAATCGACTAATAACGCTGCACCAGCCACGGCTCAACAGCAAAGTATGAGCGATACTGTGCCACTGGAAGCTGATGAGGAAGCCGGACTCCTGACTGATACCCACAAAGACAATCGCCAACGAAGATGCCGGCCTAATTGGTGCGGTCCTTTCTCAACATGCAATACTGTACGACATCTCGAATGCCAGGACTGCTGCAGCTTGTCTTAACACCTGCACTAGTGCGATGTCTATATACCTTACGTGCTAACGTTCTTACTCTGTTTAGGTTCTCGTTATCGCAGTCATTTTGTTGGTCTCTATACTCTCGCAAGCCGTAGGCAATGGGCATAAAGGCAGGGAAGGTGATGAAACCACGCCGAAATTGCCCAAGACACCCAACAACAGYACAGGCGACGGAGAATTCCCTCCTCGGGTCACTCAACCGTACTTTCCGGACTCGCAGTGTGTTTATCAATACTACAGCGAAGCGGAACACGTCGACTTTCCCTCGCCTCGGAACTTCTCCTTCACGGAGTTACTGGGGTTCACGGAGACCTTGCCCATGTCTGAAGAGGTCGAAGGCACGGTGCACGTGCAACCTTCTACTCAGCTCGATCAGGGAGTCGACATTCGAGTAAGGATTGTTTTTGCGACCACATCGGAACTCTACGTCACGAGGTCGAACTATATCAGGGACGGCGATAATCTGGCTCTTGTGAAGCCAGATCTGCAGAGAGCATCCAACGCCTCCTATGAGAGATCATGTCTTGGCGTATTCGTTGGTATAGAAGTTCGGCCGGGCGTTGAGTYGGAGAACTGGGCCCTGTTGACTGGCAATCTGGACGTTATCGTTACGGATGGCCTATTTGACGAGATTCCTGGAACGGAGCAGCCACATTTGGATGTTAACGGCAACTCTAACTTCACCGCCATCAGTGGAAAGGGTGAGATCGCTTATTGGAGCAGCCGTAGACTGGTGATTGAGTTCGGCTCGCAAACCATTCGAGGAGCTTTTGCACTCCGTGATCTCCTTCATCTCAAGACAGTGAGCGGCGATGTCGACGTAACAGTGGATCCCAAACCAGCAGACCCGGCACATGCTGTACCTGCAGAGTTTGAAGCACTGTCTACTTCTGGCAGCATCGATATACGATTCCCATTCACAGGAGAGCAATTGCCTCCAAGACACTTTCGAACGACACTCGAGACGGTCTCCTCACCAATCCGTGGTACTTACATTTCAGGGACTGCATTCTCTGCACACTCGAAATCGGGTGATATTCAGGCGGAGTTGCTACCATATTTTATCGACCAGCAGCGTACAAGTCTCCATACTGATTCCCGGTCCGGGAAAACGTTTTTGAATCTTCTGCCTCCCTATCCCGCAGGCTCATGGTCAGGGACATCGACTGAACACAGGTCGACATCCACCAGCGGCTCCATCAACATTGTGTATCCACCGCAATGGGAAGGTGGAATTGTTGCTGAAACAATCAGTGGTGGAACATCTATCCAGGGCAAGGACGTCAGTATCATCGATGAGAGAGATGGGCCAGGTTTGAAGCGTGTCAGGGCCGAGAAGGGCTCGGGCTCTAGTCGTCTGGGCTCGAGGACGATCAGTGGGGACATCCGTGTTCAGGTTGATGATTAAAGGGAAGAGGCTGTGCCTCGTGAAACATTTTCTGTCATTGCAATTTATAGAATGTTGATGATCTCACGCATGCTCCTTGGGTCCTTCTCTCAGGGTTAGGGTTGGGGTAGTGYTCTCCAAAGCCGTTGAGGTTCAGAAGCTGCGGCATCACTTCTACACTGAACATTGACATTCAGTGCTGATATTGATATTACATCGAAAGCATATCATAACAACGACATCGGTCGACGCCGCTGTTTGGCGTTACGTAGACATCATAACTTTAGTCAACACAGCAATAATCTGCGTAACGCAAGGTGAACGGAGCTGACATCTCGTTTCCCAGGATGAGTCTCGACACATGTTCAAACGTAAACGATCTGTACGTTCGTAGTGATGGATGTCAATCAACTAGGGGGTGTCATTAATCCTAGCCCAATAACCAGCCCTGACCATCCTCACTACCAATTTGAGCCATCTCTGTTCGACAGCTTGCACAGTAGTCTCTGAAACTTTCACCGAGCTCCTGATCCAATTCGTCTTCGGACTTCGATGATCCTTCCTTCTGGTCTTTCGACCTCAGCATACCTTCGATGCGCCTGCACTTTCGCTCCTCTCCCTTGACCCACTCCTCCCACTCGGCCATAATCACATCCCTCTCAACCCGATTCACGACCCTCAGAGCGACCATCAAATCATGTCTCCTCCTCGCCATGGTCTCCCGCGCAAGCCTCAGTCTTTTCATGCCAGGAGGATCCTCGCCGATGGTTAAAGAGCTCGTGAGCGCCAGTTGCTCCCCAAACATGGTCCGACAGCTTTTTTTCACCTCCGTGGGCACACTCGTCGAAGAATTGACGTCGTGCGGAGACTTGATAAGTTCTTCAATATCCCGCAGCCAGACAGTCTTCGCCAATTGCATATCTGGACCCACGCCGATCCTGTTCATGAATCTGGCAGTTCCGCGCTCGTGCCACCATGCCATGCCGTCTCTCCAAGAGTGCCAACCATTCCACAACCCGGAGATTGCCAGGATCACAACGAGAAACATGTGCGCACTCCACAAGGCCACCACACCTTTACCCAATGCGATCAATACATCAAAGACCATGCTCACAGCCCCCAAAGCTTGCGCTAGCAGATCATTGATTACGAGTCCACTGAGGGATGGCGGGGCAGCTTGACCTGCCTTGACGGCTGCGAGCGACTTGCCCAGATGAGGTATTTGACTACCATCAATCTGCGTGGCCTGTGGTACGGTCTGCGTTCCGATTCCTCCGAAGATATCCACAGCCTTGTTGGTCTTGCTGTGACTCCCAAGCTTCGCTACCTGATCCTGTGCAACCGTGGAAAGGTCCAATGCATCGGCTTCTAGCGAGTTATAAGCCTGGCGTTCGATGAGCCGCTTGAAGTAGCCCAGCCTAGGTWCTCTGCGCCAGACTATGCTCTGGAATATGGCCAACTTGCATCGGGACTTAGCCGTGTGAGTAATCACCATCTTCGTGGTGAGGATGAACTGCGAGGCGTATGGCAGCCGGTAAGGTTGTTTCACATTCGTGACGACATAGCAGAGATGATCATTGAAGATGTCAACAGTCTGGACATCGGCTGCGGGTGGAGTTACTTCGGTAGATTGGGCTTGGTTAGAAAAGGTTCTCATCCACTGCCCTCCGGGTGCAGACTTTGTCCATGGAGTTTGGACGATGACGGTGGACCATCGGTTGCAATAGAGCAGCTGGAAGACTGCACTCTTATCTCCAAACATGACATGGAAGAGGGCTTTTGCGCTGACACTGAAGTCACGAGCGATATTCGCTCGCATGCCTTGTGGGGCATAACGTACTGGCTGAGCGGGCAGTTTGAATCGTTGAATCTCTCTACCCGTACGCGCAGTCTCACCGTAAAGGTTACCGTCGATGCGAAGGCTGGCTTTGATGTTGCGTTCTCGTCTTCGTTGTGGAGTGCTTGGGTCACCGTGCCCGGGCTGATCATGATCACGTGTCACTTCCTCCCAACTGTCGACACTCGAACTTCGGTGAGGTTCCTCGACCTCCATCTTGATCAGTGTGTTGATTAGGTCTTCAAGCGGCGCAGKGCTTTCGGCCTCTGCATTACGGATCAGGAGATTGAGTCGCCGCTGCAACAGTCTCAGAGGCTCCAAGAAGACCTTGATAGTAGTCCTTCGAACGTCATCCACAAGTGCTTTGTCTTCCGCGACATGCAAGTAGAGGAAGTCACAATCACGGCCAGGCGCCGCCGTCACCTCGCTTATTGAACTCAAGCTCACACCCGTGATCAGTACAAGACCAAGGTGGTTGGAGAAGAAGTAAATCTCCCGCTCTGTGACATATACTCGTCCAGGAAACWCTTGCTGTTCGTTTGGATTCCAGGTCGCCCGGAACACAAGCACCACTTTCTCGCTCCTCGGGACGGCAGGAAAGAGCATGTGAAACTGGGCATTCTGTGCTTTAAGAGGTAAAGGATAGTAGCTTGGATATTCATCCGCACCATCTTCCGCAGGATATTTGGCCGAGATAGCTCCATGTCCAACACTGAGAGTCTTACGGTGACCAGGAGGAGCATCGGTCGCTTCAGAGAGAGGTGTAGACTGTTTTAATGGGTCCGTTGTATGTTCCATGACGATAGAGTCGTCCTGCGAGATAGCCGTTGCTGGTAATAAGGGACTGCTAGGCTGTGAGATGGGCTTTCTTGGCTTAAGGTCATCACCCAAGCGATTGACATAGCCCCAATTGCTGCTGCCCCATAAATTGGCTAGAATACCTGAAGGCATACCCGATCCGTCTGCACGTCCCAGACCGCCGCCTCGTTCACCACCAACAACTACAGCAGTGTGGCTCAAATTGGTGGCCGCAGGGGGGTTGACCAGCGTCGAGGGAGCAAGCGTAGTAGTTGGTATGCTAGTGGGAACTACGCCGGCGGGCAGTGTAAAATTGCGTTTCATGCTCTCGGATATGACAGGCTGAGGAGGAGAGCCCGGCCCGACAGGCAATATGTTGTGGCTCGCTGAAATCAGCGATGCTATACCTCCAGGAGTAGGTGCTTGGCTTAGCTGTGGCGAAGCAGTGGACCGTTTGTGAAGGTCCAGCTTTTGAATAATGCGCGCGGCATGATCGCGGGTTCCCTCACGGATGGTTTCTCGGACACCTTCACTATCCTTCTCTAGACTGAGCACTCGACGGGCTGGGTTGATGTCGACGCTCGCTCGGCTTGATAACCCTGCACCCTCTCGCTCGGGCAGTGCCAGTCCTGCCTCCTCGCTCCCTTGCGGTAGATGACCATCGCCCAGCTTTGCAGCGAATTCTGGTGCGTAAGGCTGGCTGATGGCGAAGGCTGGGTCGATTCCAGGCACGCCGTTGGAAGTCTCTATGCTTGCTGGGTTCTCCAAAGCCTTTCGCTTGGCCATCTCAAAGGCTGAGATCCATTCGGTCAGTTCTTGTTGTGTCTCCGCCTRTAAGATGATGCTGTTGTCCTTTGTCTTTACTTCCAAGCAGAACCGACGCTCCTCTTGGAATGCGGGTCGAACGCTGCACAGCAGAACACCCGTCCGCTCACTCTCTTCCACACCTCCTGATCTCATGCCTTGAACAAGCCAGCCGAAAATTCCATGCTTGACGAAGAACCAGCGGCGGGACCATACCGTTCGGGCAGGCTTGCCGGTGACTGTGCGGAGAAGCAGCCATCCTTGCTTTTCGGATCTTTCCTGCGTAGCTTTACCGGTACCCACGGCTGAAGTCGCRCCAGTGCCCAGATAAGGCACGGTGGATGCAGCGTAGTCCTCGAGCTCTCGCGACGGCCTGAACATGTTCTCTGCAGTGTCCTCAATTTGACGCCTCGCTGCCAGCAGCTCTCTCTTGAAGGCGCGCTCCGAGTTCTCCATCTCCCTGCTCCAGCCTCTCACGCGTTCCATCTCGCCACTCCACTTGGTGAAGGTCGCCGCACTGGCCTCACGCGAGGCACGCATCTCTTTCCACTGCTCGGAGAAGATTCTGACGAGAAGGCGATCCAAGGACGCACGCAATTGGGGAGCTTGAACCGCGAAATCCATGCTGCATTTCAGGTATGCCTTGCGGGCGCCGTGCAGTTGAAATGCATCCTCTCGAAGCGAGGACGACTCCTTGGTCTTGCTCTGGGCTAGATAGCGGGAAATGGTAGCATCGAAGCTCTTCTGCGCGCCGTCCAATGCGCGGCGAGCATCCTTGAAGGCACGTAGGTCATTGTTCAGAAAGCTCTTGATGGGGTCGACAACGGCACTGTCATAGCGCTTCGCCCCCCGCAACGTGCTCTGCCAAAAATCTCGTGTGCCCTCACCATATCTTCGCATGGCAAGCAAGGTGTAGTCGTGGTCCAGCACGGCCTCGCTGATCTGGGCTGGCGGCGTGGACTGGCTCAGGAAGGCGTTGACAGTTGCCTCGAGGGCTGCCACGTCGGCCACCAGACGCGCCRCCGCCTTGACATATCCCTCCAGCCACCGCTCGACGGCATCGATGTTGTCGGAAAAGTGCAGTGAAGTGGCGCGGAATGTGGGCGAGTCGAGCGCGGCTTCCTTGAGACCTACCTGCGTGCGGGCGGCATGTTAGCCACGGTTCGTTATCATCTTCATGCTGCAGTTTGCATTGCCATACGGGGATGAGATTGAGCGCGGGCTCCACTGGCTTCAGCGCTTGTTCGGCCTGGGCCTGCGTTTCAGCCATGATTAATACAAAGCGTGCATGTTTTGCTATAGCACGCGTGCATTCAACTGCAAAGTGTAGGAGAGGATTGAGCGACGTCAGAAGCAGCCATGTGAGCTTGGTTCCTGGCTAAATTCGTCCGACATAAAAGTATAAACTGCATAAACTCCCGTCCCCTCGACTTCACCTACACTTCCTTCTCATCACTTGAACTCGTCGCCAGCAACGAGCAACGACATTCAGATCATGCAGAACCACGTTCTAATCCTCTGATTCAAGGAGAGCAAGTCACACTCCACTATCGGCATCTCAACGCAGAAGTGACCCGGCTTTGGTCTCCGCAAATCTGCCATGCTCTGCCACAGTCACACCTCTCCTAGCGCCGTGGWGAATTCACGTTTCAAATAGCCGAGGACGACGATGCACTCCTTACTCCTTGCTTGTACCTCCTAGCGACATGATCGATCGGAACTCCGGCAGACAGTAGACTGCAGTTGTCAAGTTTCAATCACCAAACCATGTGGGACCCATGATCACCCATCATCTGAGCGGGAGTTGCGGGCCGCAGGAAGACGATGCAGTATTCCCAATCAGTCTCAATAGCGTGTCACGTTTTCCACCAATGCATTCAACAAAACGGAAAGTCGACCAATTACATTATCTCTCGATTGTCAATTTCAAATTTCAAGACCCGAGAGATTGTGCAGGCCATTGATATCTTCGGCCTGCCTTTGCTCAATGCAAGCGAAGAACGGAAGGTCAAAAGCGGCCCGAATGGCTGTTTTCATCGGCTGGCCGGTCGACTTTGGCAGACCACTATGCGCACTGAGTGCACTCCTTTGGCATGGAAGCAGATTTTCTCAAGCAAAAGGTATGTAAACTGGCTTTGCAGGCGCTTCTATCTGACTGGTGCGCGGACTGCCTTTTGGCAAGAGCCAATGCCGAGACCTGCTTGGTCTAGAACTTGATGGAAGATCTATTATACTCGAACTTTGGTCAGGATGCAGCAGTACAGCCGGTCCCCTCTTCAATGTCATAAGCATGGCTCCATTATTGGGTACAGACTGGTAACAGGAACGCCAGGACCGAGATAATTGTATGACAAGCTTTCGAACAATCGAAGAACCAGAAGGAGAACATGTTGCATCTGCATGGCCTGCAAACGTCGTCGTCACTCGTCCGTGGACTATAAGCGAATTTTAATCTACCCAACACGGCCGCGCAGCCCATTTGCAGCTTGGTCTACTGCCACTTTATCTCGGCTCCAACAGACAAGCTTCTACTCGATGGTTTCAAGCTGTGAGCCGCCCTTCCATGGAAACAAGTTCATGCCGTGCGACAGAATCGGACAGATAGCAAAGAGCTAGGCCAATGCGATGTGGGGCTGAATGAATCTGTCAGTTTCATAATGAGAGTCGCAAGTTGCAAGGCAATTTGATCTATAAAATGGTAGTGCACCCATCAGTTATGCCATCCTTTCTACCACCARGTTACCAAGCTCTCGACTTTCCTTTCATCACAATCGTTACCTTACTCAGCGACTGGTCGCTTCACATTCCTTCATTACATCCCATTATACAGCCTTGACAGCAATCAGCGCATYCAAAATGCAGTACATCGCCGTCGCTCTCGCGGCACTTGCCATTGGTGCCGAAGCCTCTCCAGCCCGTCATCGCCCGGAAGGCCTCGCCGCCCACGCTGCAGGCTCTGGAGTCTTTCCAACAGGAGCGTTCCCTACCGGAGTGTTCCCCACTGGAGCGTTCCCCACTGGGGCCAGCGTTGTCTCCGCTGCACCTACCGGCTGGTCCCCCCGCGACAGGAGATCTTCCAGCAGCAAGAAGTCGAAGACCTCTTCCAAGACGTCGTCGACAGCCACCGCCACGACAACTTCTGCTCCTTCCAAAGCTGCTGCTGCCCCCGGAGGCGGCCTTCCAGCATCGTCTGGTTCCTCTGCCTTCTCTGCCGTCCAGACCATTGCTGCCGGCGAGTCCTTTGATGGAGGTATGGTCATGTTCGATCGTGGTGTTTCATGCACTGGCCAGTCAGAAGGTGGTGATGGAGACGCCGTCTTCGAGATCGAGGATGGTGGCTCGCTGTCCAACGTCATAATCGGCCCCAACCAGATTGAGGGCGTCCACTGCTTTGGGTCTTGCACGCTCACCAATGTCTGGTGGTCTGCGGTCTGTGAGGACGCATTCACCATCAAGGAACAAGACGCTGGTGCTACCACCAACATCATCGGAGGAGGTGCATTCGGCGCTGTAAGTCTGCCCTTACTACCGTGAGATTACAAGTACTGATTCCATGCACAGGAAGACAAAGTGCTTCAGCACAACGGTGCAGGCACCATGTCGGTCAGCGGCTTCACCGTCGACGGGTTCGGCAAGCTATACCGCGCTTGCGGCAACTGCAAGTCCAGCTATGAGAGACATGTCATCTTCGACAACATCAGCGCCACGGATGGCAAGGCTTTGGCCGGTATCAACCCCAACTTCGGCGACACGGCTACCTTTACCAACATTGTCGCTTCTGACGTTGATGACATCTGTGTAAGTCTTGCATCGCAACTGGGATCTGGTCGATCCAGCGACTAATGTCTCGTTATAGGTGTCATACCAKGGCACCACGCCTGGAAACGAGCCCAAAAAGCTGGGCTCCGGTCCTTCRGATGCTTGCATCTACTCGGACTCAGACATTAGCTCTAACTAGAAGATTCTCATGAGCGGCAGGAGAGCAATGAGCGGCCTTGTCCAAGCATAGGCGCTCTTCAGGCAGCTCGATGCGACATCTGTGTTGAGTGCTCATAGCTCTGGCGATTACATAGCTTAGAACCACGAAAAATGAATCTGGCATTCCTTGATTGAGCCTTTGAACTGCGAAATTGGTGTTGCCTTTCCGGGAGACTTGGCGCAAACTGCTTTCGTTCTGTGGTTACGTCGTGACAATGCTCAGTTTAAGGCGATGAATGGCGGTGCATTGATTGTTTCCTCTTTCGAGATCATCCTGCGGTTACAATCCAGATGGAAATTTGCTCACCCAACAATGGCTGCCTCGAGATCAGCGCTGAACCAAGATCACATATATGATCTCTCAGGCACGAGTCACGACCAGTAGCGGACGGAGGGAAACCAACCCACAAAGCTTACGTCAACTATGGTGCTAGCAACGCGCAKCTCGGAGATGTGCCACTGGACATGACAAGGTTGAGGGTGGAATCTCCACACGTCCGAATCTGGCACAACAATGTTGTGGCGGTGCGATCGACTTTTGCGTTGTGATGTTGCCTAGGTAGATGTATCAACAGGGCATGTTGGCGATAGGATGTGCCAAGATGCTGATGTTCCAGGACAACTATGCAAAATCGTCGCCATGCTCATCTGCAGGATGATCTTTGGCAACAACATCATCAGGATGTCCTAGACGTCAGAAGGCCAAAGGACCAGAGAGAGTTTTTGCCCTGTGCGAACGAAAGGGGATACTTCATTAGTGCTACCTTACCATTGGGGTGCCGGCTCTGGTGTCGGGATTCACCGGCAGCACGGGAGCTCGGCGTGTACCGCGCCGGACCCGAAGCTCAAGTCTATCAAGATTGTTCTTCCTACTCTGCCTCTTCCGGCTATAATCTTCGCGTTTAGAGGCAAGTCCAAACGTTCGATACTCCTGGTTCGCGCGGGAGATTGGTGTGGATCCTTCAACCCGAATTCTCTCGCGAAATTCTCACTGACATGCTGTGTGTAGAGACGGTGAGCAAGTCGCGAAGAATCCTGCTCGAGCGTGGTTCTTGCCGGCCAGACAGCTCATGAGAACAAGACTTCACACGATAGTCAAAACATGTCCGTTGGAATGGTACTTTTATGCCAGCTGAAGCGGTGCCACCTATAACCTCTGCCAATGAAAGCCCACCGGACTGTTCTCCGGTTGCTATTGCATTAGGCCTTGGACARCGGTCGCTTATGGACACAGCAACAAATCTACTGGAGGAAGGGGCTAGATCTACCACACGTTGGCGGATTTTGCCGCGCGCACATGGGGCGAAGCCCACCGTCCACTGTTAAGATGTGGCCAATTTGATGGAATGCTCCCAGGCAAGCAGTCAATACGAACTTTGGACTGATACTACGCCAGGAATGATGGTCTGGCAACTGGATTTGTGAGGTCTCCAGACGCCACGGATTTACAACGAGATGATGTGCTTGCTCTTCGGCATTTCGATAGCCTCTTGACTAGGCACTACTACCGATCTTGAGTTCAAGCACGGTGTGTCAAATGCTTAGTCCTTCCCGGATTGACATCCGCAGTTCCACATCGAGCCGCGCTGCTTCCCGCAAGCAGCGAGCACATTAAACATCCCTGTTATGGTTCGGCCCCATGGAACTATCGACCACATGTGGGTAGCAGTGTTTGCGGGCACGACACGACCGGACGCTCAGGTTCAATTGTGGCGCCGCATACACGCCTCCTAACTTCTCGGATTGCAGTTCTACGCTACATTCTAGGCCTTCGATCCCAAGCGACAGACTCCAAGCTACGTTAGCGGCGTCGAAGAGAAGGGGTGTAGGCAGCATGGCCATCACATATATATGCCCTGCTTCATCCACGTTGTTGAAGGCACCAGGACCATCACTCACTTTCGGCCTCGTCACTCGTTCAATCACCACGCTCGTTGACTCTTTGCGATTCCCGCAAATCACACTCTTTATTGATTGATTGAACGTCTGCACGACCACCAAGATGCGTATCTCTGTCGTCACCTTCGCGGCCCTGGCTGCTGCCAGCCCAATCATGCAGCTGCGTGATGCCCCTGCCGACTCGGCTCCGGCATACTACCCTGGTGAATCTACACCATCCAAGTCTTCTTACTCGAGCGAGCCCAGCAAGGGCTCTGAGGGCGGAAACTCTGGCAACGGCGGCTCAAACACCGCTCCTTCTGCCTCTCCTGCAGCGACGGAGGAGAAGGGCAACGGATCCGATGACAACAACGGCGGAGAAGAGCCTGCCTCTACCACTCCTTCCGGTTCTGGAAGCTCAACCCCGTCCGACACTTCTGTCAGCACCCCAGATCTCCCAACGCAGAACATCCCGGTTCCCGCTGGAGGTCTCCCAGTTGGGGGAAGCGTTGGATTGCCCTCAGCAAACATTCCCGACGCCAGCTTGCCGCTCGGCAGCATTGGTACTCCCCTTGGATCCGGTGGCGTGAAGAACCCACTGCCCTTGAGCACATCTATCAGCACCCCGGACATTGGGTCTGGTATCGTCCCCAAATTGCCTTCTACTGGATCTCCCTTCGGTAATGGCCCATCTTTCGAATTACCTGGCGCGAACTTGCCAGGTTCTTTGCCTTCTGTTGGCTCTAACCTCCCTTCTCTTGGTGCCGATGCCGGAATCCCATCTCTCGACATTCCAGGTGGCAAACTCCCAGGCTCCTTGCCTTCTGTTGGGTCAAACTTACCCTCCGTCGGTTCAAACTTGCCCAACATTGGCGGAGATTTGAGCTCCGGTGTTAAACCAAGCACTGGATCTGGCCTTGATTTGAATGCAGGTGCTGGCGGCAAGCTTGATGGATCTCCACTCCCGTCAGGGTCGTCGAGCATTCCTGGCCTGGATCTCGGCTCAAGTGCGGGAGGCTCTGCGGGTCTGCCCAACATTGGATCGAGTGTCGGAGGCAGCGCGGGCCTTCCTTCAGTCAGTGGATCTGTCGGCGATGTTGATGGCGATCTTAAGGGCAAGCTTCCCGGGCTGAACTCCAACAACAACGCCGGTGTCGACGGTGCTCTTAAAGGAAACTTTCCTTCAGTCGATGGAATGCTTAGCGGCAACGCAGGCTCCGGTCTGCCTTCCGTTGATGGTGCTCTCAAAGGAAGCTTCCCCTCCGTCGATGGAATGGTCAGCGGCAACGCAGGCTC